ATGACTGATCACCTCTTGGTAGACAGACCCTATTTTGCTTGGCGTTGTTCAGAGACAGAATAAAATGACATTACTTCACCAGCTCTAAGGCAACAGAGAGATGGAAACAAATGGGCAGAACACAGGAAAAAGGGAGACAACATTTGTCAGCCTGACAGGCAGCAGCCTCAGCAAACCATCAGGGTGACTGTTGTCAGAACTCTACAGTCTACATCACAGAGAAAGATACCAAGACAGACCAAGACCATGACAAAGCTGCTCTGAGATGTCAATGCAGAACTATTGGCAAATGGGAGCAACAACAAAAAGAACTACCAAGATGTTTGCTTAAAAATCATCGTGGTACTTTTGCTACTTTCTTTACACACAATAAAAGTTCAATGTCCTGCTCTTCCCACAGGTAACTCTAAGGAAGCCAAAGTTTGGGAATGAAAGAGAAAATGGGGAGTTATGTCTAGAAAGGACTAAAACATACTACAGAGCAGGTGTCAAGTCTGACCAACAGGAACAAAACACTTTGTTCTTCACACTCTGCCTAATCCCCTGTGCCTCACCACTTTACAAAGTAAATGGAAAACTTGGAACTCTGAAAGATTGCACATCAATACCACCCACTTAACAGCAAACCTCAGGCTGTAATTATTTCAAAAGAATTTCCTCATGTCAACACACAAAGGATTCTCTTCCCTGCATAGCTGGCTCCTCTGTGTGATGTGGATGCACATCTGTGTGCAGGTGTGTGCTCAGCTGTTAAGGAGAAAAAGTGGTAAATGTGAACTGAACAGGGAAAGAGTCCAGGGTTCTGCAGTACTTTCTTACCTCCATCTCTTGGCACAAGGCTCTACAAGATTGTACCTTTAATTTCACTTACACAATTTTATGCCACAAGGCAATTTGCATGGTTCCCAAGGAGATAAGTTTTTTAAATTTTCTCTGGAATCCACTGATAAAAAATAAGGGAAAGATAGGGTAAGATATAATGATGAATTAGACCCTACTGAAAAGTTATCTATTTCTGGGCCAATCAGGAAATGTGAGATAATCACTACACATTTTTTATTTGCTTTTCTTTACTATTATCTCCACCTTCCTGTTTTTACTGTGCCTAGACTGAGCATTAGCAATTTTCTATCTTTTTCTTTTACAAACTATCAAACAAGGATAAAGGATTTGAGAACATCAGGTTACATGTAAACAAGAATAATATACATTTCCTATTTATGCAAGTACACTTAGTAGGTGAAACATCTGTTTAAACCATAGAATCACAGAATCTCTAAGGTTGAAAAAGACCTCTAAAGATCAGCAAGTCCAGCCCAGCTCCAGTGTGGTTCATCACTACTCCATGTCCCCAAGTGCCACATCTACACTCCTGAACACTTCCAGGGACACTCCAGTGATTCCATCACTGCCCTGGGCAGCCTGTGCTGTCAGTGCTTTCTTCTGTCAGTGAAGAAATTTTTCCTAATATCTAATCCAAATGTCCCCTGGCACCTGTATTAGGCCATATAATTACAATTCTATATATAATACATATAAAATTATAATTCTATAGCAATTCTGATTGTAAGTGCATGAAAACAGCGACTGTCAGTGATATTTCCAACAGGATACAAGATGGGAGGGAAGGAAAAGGGAAAAGGGAAAAGGGAAAAGGGAAAAGGGAAAAGGGAAAAGGGAAAAGGGAAAAGGGAAAAGGAAAAGGAAAAAGGAAAAAGGAAAAAGGAAAAAGGAACTATGACCTCTTAAAAAATTACCTAAAAAGCCAACATTCGTAATTTTTTCAGCTTCCTCTCGGGTACTCATCTCTCCACCATAATACCTGTCATTTTCCTGTTTTCCAATGCTATGCTAAACATTAAAAAAACACTGAATATTGTTTGTGTGGGCACCTTTCTTTTTCCAAGTGAAGACAAGATAAACCACAACAGATGTAGCATTGCATGTGGTGGCTGCAGAGGTATTTTCCCTGGCAAATTATACAAAAGGTTACAGCAAAGATGCAGAAAGCAAGTGAGGAGAAAGTGGACAAGTAAGATTAAGGAAGATCCTTTAGCCACTGTAGATCCTATTTCATTACAGTGCTTCATGTAGGCACAGTAAGATTCACCAAAATATTTAAAAGGACACTGGAGCAATGTGAATTTAATGCAGAAAAGGAATGCCTATGTGATGATTTGAGAAGTGGGAATCATTCAGCTTAGCAGCAAATAAACATGGCTTCCCAAGGGATTTTTCCTCCCCCTTCACTAAGATGCATTTCAATGAATACTGATGAAGGTCTGAAGAACTAATATATGTGAGCTTGTGCAATCTGTGAATTTGGATTTGCAGGTGCTCCAGTTTCTACAGAAATGTAAAAGAACCCAGTAATACCCATATACAAACCATATTCTGCTCTGTCCTTTTGATATACTGATTCTGGTGAGAAAAATTTGTTCTCATAAGTCAACAGAATGTTTTCTATCTATCCTAGGAACTACAAGAAAAAATTAATTTTCATCTAGTGCATATGGATTTCCCCTTGTGTCTGTAAAATCAGACAGACAATTATAATTACTAGAAATACAATTAGTGAACATTCGGAATTTCTTTAGATAGGCTATTTTTATTTAATTCCCTATACAGATAATTTAATCTAAGTCATTCTTCTTTGAAAAATCTTGACTTATGCATTTAATAACCTGTTGGAAAACTAGATTTAGAACTGAATAGCTGCTGTGTCAAACTAAAAACCCAAAAAACCAAGCTGTGTGTGCCTTGGGATTGGATCCTATAGCATCTAATAAAGTATGAGCTCCATTTGCAGCTCTTCCCCCCAAAAATTTGCAGCTTCTCTTTTCCCTGAGTTCTCAGTCACCTGCAGCCAAAAGGATCCTAAAAGTGACCCTTTCTTCAACAGAGATCTGTTCTCTTGAAATACATGGGAGCCTGAGGACTTCCTGAGTCTGTTATTCCTCTGTCAAATTTGCTTGAAACTGAGCAGGGTGTTTAAAAAAATACTGTAGGAAACACCATCAAAAAAGGTAAAGCAGGCTACCATAGAGCCTTTAGCACTAACAAGAAAAATAAGACAGTCTCTCTATTCCATCACTTAAAAAGACTGATTTTAAGATGCAGTATTCAGATAGTAAAAAATTTTTGTTTTAAGGTTTTTTTTCAGACATAGATAAATGTATAGAAACTATGCTCCCCTCCAATGTTCACAGAGACTTTTTTAAGGAAATGAAAAGTTCAGTTGCATTGTTTACATTTTTTTCAAGCACATCTTAAAACTCTTGTTCTTTGCATGACTTTATATTATTTATATAAAAAGAAGCATTTCAGTTATTTTCAGAGCATTATCCCAGACTCTGATTTTCTTTAAAGGAGCATCTTTACATGAAAGTCAACATCGTATTTTCAGTATATAAAATTAAATACACACCCTCTCTGGCAGTTTTCTTTCAATATAGTTGTTCAGTATGGTTTCAGTACAGTATAGTTTCTCCAAGCAAGTTATAAAGTGTTTCCAAGTAAGTTTAAAGACATCCAATTTATTTTTATTCTAGAAAATTGCTTGCTGAAGCGGCAGAGTATCCTTAAGGTGTGATTTCCAGTTATGAATTGCAAAAAATACTTAGAATTTCTCAGCACATTAAGCATCTCTGCTGGCAATAACTAGACACACTGGATATAAGGATCTACAGAAATGATATAAAAATGTAATTCAAGAAAGAGAAAGAAAACAAGGCATAGTCTTACTTGACCATATTTATCTGCTGCTGTTCAGCTACAAAATAATAGAAAAACTTTGTTAGAGAAGTCCTTTCCTCACTAAACCACAGCTTCTAATATTTTCAATTACATATTAAATACTTTTAGATTCACAAGTAGTTTGTAACATTCAGAAGTACTTTGCAGCTGAAACCTGACTTTCTCTGCAGGTAAAGGCAGACTTTTAACAAGGCAAACAACAGCAAGGAAATGATGACTTGACCTTCTGCAGCCTATGATAGCTTGTACTGCTGCAGCCTGGAAAGGTCACAGCTGGATGCTTATTCCACCCAATTCACCAAAAAATGTCTTCCTTCTCCAGACTGGTTTTCTTCCTGGTTTGTATTTTTTTACACACACCTGATTCTTGAACCTGGTGTCCTTCAGATAAGCCAAAGAACACATTGATATTAGGTGGATTTGGCCTCCTCCAAGCAGCAGCAGCACAGAAATACCAGCTGCAAGTTCTCTTTTGTACTTAGAACAATATCACAATGTAATCTGGGAGAAAGTTATGCAAACCAGACAGAAACCCAAAACTGAGCATCTGGGAGACTAAGCAGGATCCTGTTCATGGAGGCCAAAGGTCACAGCACTGCAATAGTAATTTACTGCAAAATGTGGACAGTCACCAAAAGCAAGTGTATGTGACCTCTGCATTATAAGTATTAAATGTAAAAAGATTTATTTTTTAAATTCTTTCAAAAATATATTCAAACTTAGTCAATGTGTCAGAATTGTCAGAACTTTACTAGGAACTTCTACTTTTTAAAAAAATACTTTTAGGTTCATTCTTCCTCAGCTGTAGCTAGCAAGCCCTGAAATGTCATTGTTTACAAGCCAATCTAAATTTAAACTCTTCTGATTTTTGACCCAGGGGAATAAACTGCAATCAAATACAAATTGCAAAAATATTCAGCACTATAATTCAGTTTCCTGGAACCTGAGTTTACAGTCATCTCAGGTTTCTGTTTTTATATCTACTAACCAAATCCCACCTTTCCTACATAAAAGATAAATTTCTATCTGTAAACTGTTCTGCCCAAGTGTTTTACTATATTTATGCTCCCACTGCATTTCATGATCAGTTTTTCCACTTTCACATCCTTCAGAGAGGACATCCCCTTGACTACTGCTGGTAATTCTTCAGATATTTCCTTACAGTAAATGCTTCTTGATGACCTGTTGAAAAATAAAACTCCACATGTACATAATAAAATTAATCTACTGTTCATGGTTCCTACCAGCTCACTGCGAAGTCGTGCACCTTCAAAATGCTGCTCAGTTGATACTGTCCAGATTTCAGGGGCTGAGTGTGTTCTTTGGCATGCTCAAAGAATGGGGTCCCTTCATGATCAACAGGGAACTCTGAATCCTGTAGAAAACCAAAATTATTAATTCTCAGAAATCCTGCATAACTTCACACAACTTATCTATATATATTACTATTTTGAAAAACCAAATTTATCTTATTTTTCCACTCTGTTTTTTCTCCCCTATTCGATTTTCATAATTTTTTAAATCGCTGTTGTCCTGATTTTATTAATTTTTGATACATATTATTAAAGCTCACTGCAGGCAGAACAGTTGAACACTAATCATTAGTTCTTTTCAAATTATATCACTATTTAACTGGCCTGACATAAAACACAGGACTAGAACTGGGAAATATCAAATATCAAACCCCTCGGCAAGATTACTGGCATGAGTTATTTCCCATTTTTCCATGCCCTATTTATTTTCTATCCCTGTTTTCCATGGGAGGTTAGCTCCATGAGTTGCATCCAGAGGCAAAGGTGCTGTATTCTTCAAAAGGCCTTTCTTCTAAGTATAATGCAATAAAAAGTCAAAATACGTGTCCCTAATTTATACAGCCTCATTTTCCATTGGTGTGGTTTAAGATATTTCCTAAGATTAATCAGCAGACTAGGAGATTACTAGCTCTAATTAACCAAACTAAGTATCTTTATTAAAAATAGATTGCCATTAAAGAATGTGAGGAGGGTAACTGTGCACAATGTATCTTAAGGACTGCACCAGTCATTACAAAACCACTTCCCAATATGCCACAGTTTGCTAAAGATCTGGCTGATGGTTACTGTTTGCAGCATTTTAGGACATCCTGCTGTGAGAAGCTTTAAAGGAGACTGAAATCACTGTACTCTTTAAAATGCCCATCAAACACTAAGATTAAAGAGGGAATAAAATCACTGTATTTTAATATGAAAACACACACACACAGCAGGGATAACCACTAAGTCTTTTTAATATTTGTTTGCACTAAACTTGATAGCAGCCATCCTGTTTCCTGATGATTTCAGGAATGAGCATAAAGCAAAACTCCCAGCTACAAAGTAGCAAAAGAGTATCTGTTTGTCTTCAATTTCAGAAGCTCTACACACTGAATTGTCCTGCAAGAGTGCTATTAACCCCAGCCAAATTTATGAAGAACATTAAGCTTAGATGATGCAATGACTTTATGATCAGTTTGAGCACATCTATTCCAGACACAAGACCTGGAAGATATTTTCCAGTGGACTGTGGCTTCAATAGCAGGCACAGCCTAACAAAACCACTCTAAAATCCATGGAAAAGTAGGGACTTTCAATATCTGACTAATATCAGACAACAGTCTTTCTTTTCTGACTGGGGAGGAAGACAGAATCTGAAAATCACGGAGAGCAAATGATCAAAGTCATCCTTTGCTTAACACAGATACTAGCAAGATACCTACCTTTGGAAAAATCAAAAGTAATAAATATGGAATATTCAGAATTGGAAAATAAATATGTCAAGTACAAATACATAAAGATTACTTTAACCTGGCATTGTTAATCCAGCGAGGAATGTGTTTGTGGCTAATGTTCCACATTTTAATACAACTGCATATCAAGTTCTCACTGTGTCCCAGCTATAATATTCTTGAAGATCTCTGAATGAAGAGAAATCCATAGATTTTGCAAGTTTAGGAACAATTATGATACTTATTATACACACACACACTAAAATGAGTAAAGATATTAACTAAAGATATGTGTCAGTACCTCTATGCAACTCTTGGAAGCTTTCTGTACTCCTTGTCGTACAAAGTTCTACCTTTCAAGATTTATAAATTTGAACAACTCTGATTATAGCATAACAAAGGCATAAAATCAGCATTCTTTTTGCAAATTGTTCTCATTCACTTTTTGGAACACAACCAGTGAATAAACACTACCAGAGTTACTCATTTCAGAGTGAAACAACCTAGGAAAGACAAGGCTCTCTGAATAGAAGAGACAGGAAATCTTGCATTCTTCAGTAGGAAAAAATCCCCAGATACTACACTTCAGGAGATAATGCTGTAAATGATTGCTGTAACATTAAAAAAACATAGTAATAAGAGAATAATATAAAAATATTAGTTCTCCTATAACTTTGTTGTGAGGATCTGAAATATTTCTGGAAGTGTAGCTTTTCCACTATTTGAAGAGGTAATCCTGTATTCTACCAGGGCAGGAGACATGGCCTCAGCTGAGATAATTCATCCCTATGGCTCCCACTGGCATCAATAGTGGTCTCATTTGTCATAGCCAGAACAAATGCTGATTTCAATAGCTCCCCAAGGAGCACCAGGTAGAAGTCACAGTGTGACTTTTTTCCCCAGACACAAATATTTCTCACTGTGGAATAAATGGGGTATCATTATCCTAAAAACTTGCTACAATAGAACTGTTCAATAACTCTTATACAAAGATATCTCCTCTCCCCTAACAGATTTAGGCAATCCAGTTTCATTATTTAATCCTTATTCTATTATTTCCAATTGTTAAATCCTAAGGGTAAAAGAGAATCCATTACACAAGTTCAGACCTTGCATAACAAGGCTTGTGAAACTTTTAGAGGCATTGACTGCAAAATCTTGATGTTCCTTCAGCATGTGCAAGCCAAAATTCAGGAAAACATCCTGAGTGCTAAGAAGCCAAAGCAATACTGTGGTTTTGTTCACTCCTTTATCTGCTATGTATGGGTCATTTGCACCATGACAAAAATAAACACGTACCAAGCTTCTCTCTTCTTTTTATCCATATAAAAGAGGAAGCACTTCCTCTTATACCCATATTTTATATACCCATTAAAACACTGCACTTCCTGCCTGTGACATTAAATATCCTATTACTGTATCATCAAAGACAAGGAACAGAACATTCAAAAGAGTGTCCTAGGAAAAATCTCTATCAACCAAAACCCTTCTGAATGCACATCCTCAGTCACTGACCAGGGTAAATGGTACCTGGCCCCTGATCAAACTGTCCCTTTGACAGTATACTCCCTCTGTTATCTAAAGTCACAGGTGCAACTATCAGCCTCTCACAAAAAGTTGCCATGACTCTTGGGCTATTTACACACAGTATTTCCATAGCTGTCTAAAATATCAGAAGACAGAAGGCTACAGAAGTCAGGATTGTGTGAAGTCATAAAGGCATTTCATGCCTTAAGACCTCACAGGTTCACATACAAAAAACAAACCAGAAGAGAGGAACTTGTCTTTTGTTTGTTGGGGATTTTTTGGTTGCATTTCTTTTAATTTAAGAACCTGAACCATAAGAGGATTCAGTGATTTTCCCCAGATCAAGCCGGAATTCTCTAGGACAGCTTGCAAACCGTATCTTCTGAGTCTCAAACCATTCCTCAATTTCCCCTTATAAGATAAAAAACCTTGTCTTCATGCAAACTGTCATGCAATCAAGAAAATTTACCCTTAAAGCTATTAGAAATATCTCTTTTTTGTCTTTCTTAAATTTTTCCAGTAAGACTTCCAATAGCAGGGCTCTTCAGAGCAAGTCTACAGCTTTCTTTTTCCTCAAGAAAGACACAAGAGAGACATTTGTCAAAACATACAGAAGGCAATGAATAGATAAGTGGAACTGATGTAAATCATTTCAGAGCTGGGAAAAATGTAGTAGAGTTTAATAGAAAACATCCAAATCAGTTTGTCTAAATCACAGCTTGGCCTTGTCTGTATCATTATTACAGGTGGTGTTAAGTTGCTCCTTAGTCAGATGTTAAAAAATGAAGTCAATTGAAGAAGCAGCTTCACTCTGAAATACTTTAATTCCAAAAGAAAAATAGAGCAATCTTAAGCAAGGCAAAGCCCATCAGACAGCAAATTAGTGAGTGATCACTGTCTTTCAGTGAGGGAGGAGAAGGAGCAACCTTTTCTTTTTGCAAAAATTAATGACCATTATCATCAGTAGTTCCAAACTGAAAGCTGTTAAGGTCATTCTAAGACTGGAGTTCACCCATGCACAAGGAGCACAGTCACAGGTGCTGGTGCATCCATACGTTCAATTTAAAAAGCAAATACTGAATACTTTTTAAGAAATGTCAAACAATGAAAATTAAGTTCCTCTTAGGGCGTAGTCACTGTCTGTGTCCAAGACTCAGAAAGACAGCCTAACTTGCATCCCTAAATCTTTTCAAGGAAATATTCTATTCTCAATTGTCACCCAAGAATCAACATCGTCTCTGTTTTTCTATTTTTTCTGTCCTCTCAGCAGCTCCATTTTGAAGCACTTGAGGTAGGCGGCTCTACCTAGGAAGGAACCAAATGCTAAGCAGGAAAGTATTAAACTAATATTAAAAGCTTTGATGCAAGAGTGACAGAAAATTGACACCTAGTATAGTAGCTGAGCATGATTTTAGTTTGTTTTCATATTTCTTGTAACTGAAGGGACAGGGTATCCATTTCTAGCAGAGTATAAAGAAATGAAGGTGTGTCATTCACCCACATCAGTGAAACAGTCAGTAGGCACTGCTGTACAACTAACACTGAAACAACTCAATTTCAAAATGCTCCAGTGTCTATAGTAACCATAATACAACACATTCACACATTATTTTATTATGTTAATCATAATCACAATTATTTTATAAACATCTGAAATGTAAGGAAAAGAAGTTGAAAGCAGTAGCAGGAGAGTGTAGTAAAACTTTTATTGCCTGCTCCATCTTGCTTGGCTTGCTAATAAAATCCATAAAACTCAGCTACAAAGGTTGTGGCCACATAACTCCTCCTTACTCAGTTTATAACCCTGACATTTTTTTTCTTTTTTTAATAAAATAAACATGAAGATAATATGTAATAGGTAGTAAAAGCCAGATTAATTAAAAAAAGGCAACAGTAAAACTGTTCTGTCTTCAAATTCAGGGCTAGTGTAGGTATTCAGACAGTTTGTGAACTGGTGCTAACACTAAATTTGCACTTGAAATTGCTCCTGACAATGTCAGTTTTAAGGCTCTGCCACATCAAGTCAAGCCATTGCCTGTGCAATAAAAAACTAGAAAGCTCTACTACTCAATGTCTAACTGTGCCACAGACACTCAATCACTTTT